AAAGGATGATAATCTGCAAAGACATGAGAAAATCTCCATAGTTTATATATGTGAAAGCAGAAATAACTATTAACAGATCATTGAGAAACTGTCAGTAAAACTAGAATTGGATGCTTAGTTAATATGCTTTCACAAACAGTAATATGCAGATTACCTTCTGAAGTAAGATCTAAGGATAGGTAGCAAAAGCAGCTTCATAGATGCCAAGTCTAAAGGAAAAAATCCTACATTAAGTTTGGAAAGTTTAAGAAGTAATTTCAATACATGGAGACCATTGAACTAAGGGAGGCATTGCAAAGTAAAAAAAAAAAAAGGTTACAAGTAAAAAGACAAGTAAAATTCTACACATTTAAATTAAAATTAAAATTCCACTAATTTTTTGAATATTTAACAGAGTTAGAATTCAGCTTTTCAGATTTGTTTCATCAACTTGTTAAAATTGTCATATCAATCACATTTTTCAGAGTACCAATTATTCTTTATCAGAACTAAAAAATATCAAAGGACTGGCCATGGCATACACATTTCCCACAAGTCTCTGGACATCCAGGACAACTGGATCATATTTCCACAATACAGTTGAGAAAGATGACATTGTGATATCCACACAGTACATGATCACAAAGAAACTCACCAGGAGCAGGACAGTATGAGTGGCCCTTTTTGCTGGGGAGGTTCTTGGGGTAACACTTATGCTGTGAAGGTACTCACACCTCCTCTGATGATTAGATAGAAAATCACCATGTATGCACTGGAGAGTAGCATGATTCCTACAAAGATGGTCTGGGGCAATGCAAGTGTGAAAAATATTTCCATGATGATAGAATTCATTGAGGAAAGTGAGCAATACTTACTGACATTGAGTAGTTTGGTCATGTTGGAATGAGCTACAGTGTAGATGATCATGTTACTATTGAAAGAAAGGTTGAGGGACCAAAAACAGAAGAAAGCCTGAGTATATAATTTGTGAGTCCATGTTTAAATCTTGACATGTAGAAGGTGCTGGGGCTGATGGTGATGACTTGGATGATGCTCAAGAGGGACCGTAGTACTGATGGAGAGACCCCTCATCCCCCTGACCATATAGAGCAAACCTTACATTTTAAGTCATTTAGAAAATTCAGTGACTCGAACATATCTGCAACCACATGACATGCATGAATTAATGAGAGGCACATAGCAGAGTTGGTAAAGTCTTGTTGAATTTGCTCCTTAAACCAATCAAGCCAATCTGTGTCTGTTAACTGGACAGTTCAGGCCATTAACAGTCAATGTGACTAATGATAAGTGGTAACTTTGCCCTGCCATTTGCCAAAGATAAGTTCTAATATATGCTTTGAATTCCTGTGATCTTTTGCTGTGAGGTTTCCTTCCTTACCTTCTTCATATTGATGACCGTGTTCCTGGTTGTCTGTGTGCAACACATCTTTAAGCATCTTTTGCAGGCTGGATGAGTGACAACAAATTCTTTCAATTTCTGTTTGCTATGAAAAGTCTTTATTTCACCTTCATTCACAAATGATAGCTTTGCAGGATATAATTTCTGGGCTGGCAGTTTGTTCTCTCTTAGTACCTGGGCTATATCTCTCGCCATTCCCTCCTAGCTTGTAGGGTTTCTGATGAGAAGTCAGCTGTGAGTCTGATTGGAGATCCTCTGAGAGTATCTGACGTTTCTCTCATTGCACATTTTAGGATCTTTTCTGTAGGTTCACTGTGGAGAGTTTAATTACAATGTGTCAGTGGTGAGGATCTCTTTTGGTCGTGTTTATTAGGGGTTCTGTGAGGCTCCTGTACTAGGATTTCTCTGTCCTGCTCCAAACCTGGGAAATTTTCTGCTAATATCTCACTAAAAAGGCCTTCTAATCCTTTCTCCCTCTCATGCCTTCAGGAACTCCTAGAACCCGAATGTTGGTTTTTTAATAGTATCCTGAAGATTCCTGACAATATGTTTTAGATTTCTAATTTCCTCTTCTTTTCTTTGGTCTGACTGTATCCTTTCCTGTTCTCTGTCTTCTAAGTCCGATATTCTCTCTTCTGCTTCACCCATTCTGTTTGTAAGGCTCTCTATGTGTTTTTCATTTGATCTATTGAATTCTTCACTTCGTTATGATTTCTCATCACTATCACAGTTTCCTGTTGTACTAGTTGTTTCATTTCATTTTGATTCCTCCTTAATATTTCATTTTCACGAGAGAGATGTTCTATCTTGTCCATTAAGGATTTCTGTAGTTCAAGAATTGTTTTTGAGAACTTCTTAATGTTCTTATCAATTTTTTGAGATCTGCTTCTTGCATTTCTTCTATCTCATCATCTTCATAATCTTGAATTGGGGTGTCTTTTTCATTTGGGGGTGTCATAGTGATTTCTTTGTTTTTATTACCTCGGTTTTTGCATTTGTTATTTGGCATATTGGAGATATTTGGTTTCTTCACTGTGGTGTTTTTTCTTGACTCCAGATTAAGTGGACTGTCTGTTTTTGATGGAGCCTTAGAGGCTTCAGGTGGGTGTGGCCTGAGAGCTCTGTTTGGTGTGCCAAAGGTGACACTCCCAGGTTAGGTGTGGTAGATCTTCCTCTCTCTCTCTCTCTTTTTTCGATCCAAAAGGGAAGTAATTCTGCACAGCTGAATGAAGTTGGAGGTAGTTAGCAGGCAAATGATATACCCACAGGAGCCAGAGATTGGAAACTCTTTCCCGAGGACCACACAGGGAATCTGTTCTGCCCTCAGAGTGGGCTCAAATTCTCCTTCAGTCTCCCACTGGGTTGCCAAAGTTACGGAATTGTAGCGTCTCTGGAGAGTACTCACGTGAATTCCGTGAGTTCTCTCCCCCACCGTCTCTTTTTTCACAGTCTCAGTTCAGTAGCGCCACAAATTTACTAGGTCCTAATCTCCTGTTAATTCACCCCACCCAGAGTCAGGTTTTTCTGCTAGGCTCAGGGCCGGTGCAAACCTGAGGTCGCTCTGCTTATGACGTATGTCCAAGATGGCGCCTGCTCTTTGTCTTGCTCGCCCTTGAGAGGTGAGCGGAGAGAGAGAAACCCGTGTCCATATCAGTCACTTTTCTCTCTCTCTCTCTCTCTTCTAGTTAGCCTGGTGAACTTTTCCCCCCCGGGGTCGTTCCCTCTAGTCTCCTCTCTCCGCTTGCCTGCTGGTGTCTCGGGCTATTGAGGTTTGGCTCACCTTGCGTTCCAGCGCTGGTGTGTTGAGTCTGCCGCTGGTGTCCCGAACTGTGGGCTCCCATGCTCTCCACGCAGGTCCACTGTGAATCACTCATTCTGGAAGAGTTTCTTCTGCTGTTTCTTCCCCTACTCTTCTTTGAACCTGCAGTATCTCCACTTTTATTAAACTGTCTCTCCCCAGACTATCAGTATGCTCCCTTCCTATTCCGCCATCTTGCCTCCTCTAATTTGCTTCAAAGGCTTAATCAACTAGAGCAAAAGCACTATGTATCATAAATGAATAATTGTTCCATAAACGTGTATCTGGCTGGTGTCATGGCTCACTAGGCAAATCCTCCACCTTGCAGCACTGGCACACTGGGTTCTAGTGCCTGTCAGGGTGCTGGATTCTGTCCCGGTTGCCCCTCTTCCAGCCCAGCTCTCTGCTATGGCCCGGGAGTGCAGTGGAGGATGGCCCAAGTGCTTGGGCCCTGCACCCTATGGGAGACCAGGAGAAGTACCTGGCTCCTGCCTTCAGATCAGTGCAGTGCATTAGCCGCAGTGCACTGGCTGTGGCAGCCACTGGAGGGTGAAGCAATGGCAAAAGGAAGACCTTTCTCTCTGTCTCTCTCTCTTACTGTCCACTCTGCCTGTCAAAAACAAAACAAATAAACAAACAAAAAATGTGTATCTGTACCCATGGAACCAGAAAAAGTACCATGACCATATTGACTAGAAGATGAACTATCTCCACATTTCAAGGATCATAATCAATTCAATTATATATTTAAGCAGTGTATGATATTGGTCCCAGTACTTCTTCCATTCATTTATGAGATTGAGCCATTTCGCACCAGACATATGTGTGTAGAGTATTTAAAATATTTATTTTGGTATATATATCTATATATATATATATATATATATATATATAGTCCTCATACGTTATGAGATGTTTGGTGAAAGAGATAACATAATTACATGAAAGCAAGTAGATAAGGATTTCAATATTTTCTTCTCCTGCCACAGTGATATTTGGCTGATTATCCCTGCCTCATTTCTCTCATTTGATAAATGCCCACCATGTACTGAAACAGACTTGCTCTATCAGATACTCAATTGTTATTTGTTTCTAATGAGGCTTTTGTTAACATACAGTCTGGGTGAGAAAAAAAAACATGGCTCCTGTGGATGAGCAATAATAGATGAAATATAATCATTTAGATGATTTCTTTTGAAAATGCACATTAATTCCCTGTATCTAACAACTGATAGCTGTCTGCAACATATATGTGTACTCCAAACTATCATATTATTTGTTTGTATTTTAAAGCTAATTTTGTATCCTATTTTTATGTGAAAATCTGGCAGTTGCATCATGGAAGGATCACTGAAGGTGCAATAATATGTTGTCGACATGTAAGAAAGGGAATAGAAGAGTTTGAAGATGGTCACTTACAGTTTGGTTAGGGTGTAGTCAAGGAGATTGAGTCCTTTGTTAAACAAAGTAAATACTTAAACATATTAACATACAGCTCCGTTCTCACTGGAAGAACTGAAAATCAGAGATTACTGGGGCTGAGAGTGGAGCCTCTGAGCATTCTCAGAGACAGAAAGTGTGGGCAATGTTCACCTTCTTTATCCTGCCTTTCATCTTATATGTCAAAATATTCACTTCATCTTGGATCATGGTGAGGAAAACACCACAATTAGATGAACCTGACTTTTTAGCCTTCTCCCCATTAACCCTGAGAGCTGCTCTGGCTGCAACACACTCACCCAAGCTCCACCTCCTGGAAAGCTACCACCACTGTCCTCTTCTTCCAGGTGGCATCATGCTTACCTATGGGGACCTCATCAGTGACGATGAGATGTTCTATAACATTTGCAAGATGTGCCTGAAGGTGGAGGGGAAGATGGCCAGTGGGCAGAGGGTAACATTGATGATTCCTTCCTTTGCACGAAATGCCTCTTCTGAAGGTCCCTAGGGCAAAGATACTGAAAGCACAGTAATCACTGGTGTTGATGTTGCCATGAACCATCACCTGCAGGAAATCAGATTCACAAAAGATTCCTTCAAGAAGCATATTAAAGATTACCTGGAATCAATGAAAGGCAAACTTGAAGAACAGAGACCAGAAAGAGTAAAACCTTGTATGATAGAGGATGCACAACAAATCAAACATATCCTCGCTAATTTCAAAACTATCAGTTCTATTGGGTAAAAACATGAATCCACTTGGCATGGTTGCTCTGCTGGTACTACCGTGAGATGAGATGACCCATTTATGATTTTCTTTAAGAATGCTTTAGAAATGGAAAATGTTAACAAAATGACAACTGCT